TCTGCATCATAAGCTTTGTACAAAGAGGGAATTCAAAGGTATTTACCTATATATCCCTAATAAAACTGAACTGAACTGAACTGTCGCCCGTGGGGGTGGGGGGTGCAGAGTATATTTGAATCGGACCGCCTGTGCTAAGAGTATTTGAAGCATATCAGGAGGAGCCCATCGTGGTTTTTGTCATAATCCCAAGGGTCCCACGAGGGAAAGATTGCGGAGGTCACGCGAATGTCACCGAGTGTCGGAGACGCGCCCATCGTGCATCCTTGCTGGTTACCGAGTCTGCCGACTAACTGTCGAAAAAGAGAGTGTTGCCTGTCGGCTTTTGAGTTTTTACCAGAGGACTACACTAAAAATGTTATGAACTAAAAACATTTGCCAGAGGCTGTTTTTTGTTAAAATTATCCTGAAATCTTCTCGAATGAATTGTTCGATTATTGATCTCTGTCCGCCATTGGCTGTGATCGGTACTGAAAGGCAATGCACTGGTTCCTATTGTTTCGGATGGTGTCAAACTTGCCCTGACCTGCACTAACTAGGCACCATCTTATTGGCGCAGACCATCGATGCAGGAAAGTCACTCAGTAAATATTTGCTAATAACGCTAACTATAGTCGTATACGCCGGTTCCCTAACACATTCTCAAATAGACTTGTCTATCTTATACACCCAAGAGGCTTGCCTTGCAATACCACAAAAAGTCGCTCATGCTGCATAGTAGGGTCTTCTTATAGGTATTTATTTATTTATTTATTCATTATTTTATCTATTTATTATTAGCAGGTGCGCTCGCTATAGCTCAGTAGGTAGCGTTCTCAACGCAGGTTCGAAAACCTGACGGCTCGTTTCCGCTAGAGGGTGCACCTTTTATTCCTATGCGATTTTACTATTTTGGGACCTGAGTCATCGAACTGTAGCTGAGCCCTGCACTGAACCAATAGTACCCGCCAATGTCCACTCTACTTGCCGCTCTCTCATTGGTGCCTTGGGGGTCTCATTGCCACAAACTGCGCTTACCTTTCTATATTTTGTTTTTTTCTCTCTCTTTTTGTCTCTCCAGGTACCAGTTTTCTTGCCTCTCTTCTTAAGCCCCACGGGCAGTGTTTGAGTTCCCAGGACCATGACAAACTGCGCGTTTTTGTGGAGAACTTTGTTACGAACTGTCTCATCCCCTGGGTAGAGTCTACGATGAAAACTCTCAATGAAGCTGTACGTATGTTCTCTACTCACCTACCTCCTGTGATTTTCAAAAATCATTCGAATTAAGCCCCCTGAAGTTTTGATTGAAAAGCAAATTGTTGGCTTAGAATGGATCAATTACGGTAGCCGAAGCCCTTGTGACACCCTCACAAGACCTCAGTGCTTCTGAGTGGCTTCCAGTGCTCTTCAGGTTCTTTCTTGTAACTTTCTGTTTCACTCTACGAGTATCATCAGTACCTCGAGGAAGTAGTGAAGTAGGTTTGCACAGCATAAATCTAACTCTTGTCGAAAATAGTCCTCTAATAACACGGCCGTCTATGGTTCTTTGATTGACTCAGACGATATTTCATTCACTCGGATAGCATATCAATTGCCGATTTTAACCTATCATGACAGCACCAAGAACTAAGTTCTCCTACTAGCTACTAGGTACCGGACGCTCGTCCGATGTTATGGGTCGGTGCGTTTTTTGTCGGACTCTGAAAAGTTGTTCATTTTGAGAAGTAGCCTATCACGACGACGATGGATGCCAGTAAGAGTTCGAAAGCTCAGACGAAGAAAAACATGATTCCGGTGACCGAAGGGCTTTCTTCTTCTTTACCTATTCACACACCAGGCATGCGAACATTCGTCTCAATTCCTAATTCAGTCTCATGAGCAACGTTTCGATCGTCGTTTCGAAGAGGTCCACCGTGTGCTCCACAGCAGGGTGGTGCAGGGATGGGGACTAGCGCGTGAATTAGTTTTAAGTGGTAGTAGAATTGCACAGCATCTACCGCACTATTTCTTCCCTCATCCGCCTGGGCCCGGCATCAAGACAGCGTCAAGAGCACCGGAGGCGGACTCGGGTGCAGGTGTCTGATGCAGCGGGAGCCTGCACTTACGCCTATTGCCACGCCCACTGTGTTCGGTATTTGTTATGGAAACGCAACCTGAATAGCGTCCGACCTGCCTTGATCTAGCTCCCGTGTTAGTCTAACGCATCTACCACGCGGCCCATTTAGAGGACACACATAACA